ACCGACAAGTAAGACCCTGTTTCTGTTGGGTGGTAGCTCTTGCTCTTCCTTTGCCCTGTCTTGATTGTCAAAAACACTGATGGCTATTTCTATGAGTTGCTCATTGGGCAGATGTATTCCTGGAAGTGTTCAGCCCTTGGCAGACTTGGGGTTTATGTTTGTGTACTTTTGTAAAGCCTTAGTTAATTGTCCCTGAAAGGGACAACACGGATAAGTACATAGGTGCACTCCAACACCTTACCTTAGCTTGTGAGTTAAGCTGGAAGGACATTATGGTTGTCTTAGGGCAGACCTTATCAGATCTTGGAGAGGAAAAGTAATGAAGGCAGCCAGAAAACTTTGCTAACAACTCACACCTATCTGATGGCAAATATCCCACTGGAGAGTCAGCAGTTCCTCCTGTAGACCCTAAATGGGGCTGCTATGACTTCTCCCCAAAATGGGAAAGAAAGTACCTTCTAATTTGCATGAAAGTAGGCCTCAAGGCAGGCTGACAAAAGGCCATTAACTATTCCTAGGTCTCCACTGTCAGCCAAGACCCGGATGGGAATACCACCACGTTTTTTTGTATTCTTCCCTTCCCCTCTTGTCCTTCATTGGTCCTAGTTCAATAGATCTAGTTAGGGTCCTGATCTGGGATTGTGTTAACACCTGGTTGGTGTGTGCTGCTGAGTACAATGACCAGCTAATTTTCTTAGCATCAGCCCTAGCAGATTCCCTTTGTGTTGCTCTTTATCTACAGCAATGGGAGAGAACAATCTGTAAGTTACTCTAAATTAGGTCATAATTCAGTGATTACAATTGACAAAGGATTTTGCTTTTTGTAACAAGGTTTTGAAATACCACTAAAAATTATAAATGAAAGTGTTATCAGGCTGAGAAATTAATTTCTTCATCCCCACCTGTCCATTTTACCTGGGGTTTCTACTGAGAAATAATGATTGGCTTTGGGAAAGTGAAGGGAGCTCTTGGCTCTTTCACTTGTCATTTGCTATTTATCCATGTACCTTTCCTTTTCTTTCTTACTTCTAGTTACCCTCATTCCAATTTCTCTCCTTCAGTTCCCTGCTCCGATGCCCTTTCTTCCTGTATGTCTTTCCTTTTTCCTTTCTGTCCCCGTTTCACTACCTCAATTACTTTTTTACTCCTCCCCCCACACAATCCTTTTTCAGCTTGCAGGCTGTCTGTGACTCACATGAACCCTCTGCGAGGTGCACTGAGCCTCTGTGACACAGGCAGTCCTTCTGCAACTCACACAGTCCCTTCTGCAGGACACAACATTATACAATAACTGTTAGAATTATAAATGAACATATATTAGAAATTTGCAGACTTTGGAGATTTTTATATCATTCCTTTGACAAAGCTTTCCGTGTATTTTAAGTATATTAAACAAGCCTGGTTAGTCTAAAATTTCTCTTTTGTAGGAAGAAAGAATAAATCCTTGAGATATTTCAAGGGTGCTTTGAAATACCCCAAAACCATCTCTAGGTTAAGAAAAGACTTAGAATTTAAACCCTGGAAAGCTTGCCAAACATATTTGACCTAAGGAATAGATTATGAAATGGTGTTTGACTATTTATTTAAGGTGATAATAAAAGGCATGAAATACCAATATAAGCTGACAAATCTTCAGTTCTCAGGATTAAGAGACATGAATTTTTTTGAAAGTTCATCAAGCATTTGACTAACACACCATGATATATAATTAAATACTTTGCTTTATAGACAGATATAGGAAAAACTTCCCCCCACTTACATAGTAACAAGAACCAACCAAATTTTGTATTAGCTTATATAATTAGCTTCATGTAATTTCCTCTCAAGATTTTTTACAAACCTTCTTCAATTAGTACAGACTTTCTATAATATGCAGTCCCTTTTAGTTTTCTTTTTAATTCGTTCAGAAATAAAAGTTTTTTTCCCCACTGGCAGATATAGTGCTCAAAAGTGAGCTGTTTTGTTAGCTCGTAACCTTGACAACTGCAAGGAGGCTGGAGGAGTGGGATGGGGGTACTGAGAGATCTTCAGCCATTTCAGTTTTAAAAGTACCAGTTTTTTCCTCCTTTGCGCATTGAGGGAAGGGGGAGTTACTGCTTCTGGAGACAGTGAAACAAAGGAAAGACTTGGGGTTAGCAACAGGAGAGAGCCCAGGCAGGCTGCTTTGGCTCCTTAGAAAATGTATGGATAGGAAAGGAGTGAGCCAAGCCCCAGCTGCCTTCATTCACCTGGAAGTCAGTGGAAAGGCTGGGCCAGGTGTTGGGGGTGGGGGCTGCTGGAGACACAAACAGGGGGTAAGCCCCTCCACTCCCCTGGCAGCAAGTCTCTGTGGGACACTTGGATTTAGAGGAAACAAAAGGTTTATGCCCGAGAAGGTTTATGACTATTTCTCGAGAGGAAGAGAGAGCAAGACATTCACCTGGCAAATGCACTACCCATAGGAGAGATGCAGCAGGGTTACGACACGGTAATGATTCAAACTTACTGTTCCCAGGCCATGGTTTACAGGCAGAAAAGACTAGGGGATTCTGAGTAGTGGGTCAAAGTTTATGAAAGGGGCTCCCAAAGGCCATTACACCTTTGGTCATCCCGAGATCTTCCATGTGTCTTGGTATCTCCCCTGGCAGTCTAAACCAGCTGGGGAGGGGGGAGCTCAGAGTGCTGGGTGACCAACCCTTATTTTGCATGTCCCCTTACAGTGATGAGGTCCCTGCACATCTTAGTATTAACCCCAGACACCTCCACGAGGCCCCTACTCATGCAGGGATGCCTGAGAACTCGGACCAGAGGGAGGATGTACTTCTTCAGTCTTGGGAGCACAGGCGAACCTCATCTCAGGTCTCATCCTTGCTTCTGCCTCTGAACACAGAACGCTACCTGAATACCCCTCCTCTATAGTGTCCGCTGCATCTCCTTTAACCCTGAAGGTGAAACTGGCAATAACACATCGCTGGTGAGAGGGTTACTCACCGTGGTCTGCAGCTCGAGTCAAAGGTCATGATCTGAGACCACAGCACCGAACGAAGTATGTTCCAGAGAGAGACCCAAGTCAGGGGGTCCCCCGCCCACCCTCCACCACTTACCTTGGTTCTTGTCTTGCTTGTAAAAGAATAATTCAATCGAGAGACAAACACATATAATGGAAATGAAATATCAAGTTTATTTATGAAACATACGTGAGCACAAAGCTGCAAGCAGGCACCCAGCTAAGTCTAAATGCCCCACATACACAGGAAAGCAAAGTTGTAAGTTTGTTAGTGAGTTAGTGAGTTTGTTCTATACACTTGAGCCGAGGCTACAAGTGGGTACTTAGCTAATCTAAGTAGGCCGACTATTCGGGTTCAGGGGTTATTGACCTTAGTCAGCTTTTAGGTTCTCCCTCCTTTCCCCCCCTCTAAATCTTGGGAATAACGTACAGCTACAAAGGCTTTTTTTCTCAGTTAGTAAAGCCTCTTTGTCTTAGTGAAATTGTTACCGAGGCCCCCTTTCCCAGCACAGTCTCAAGGACTCCCCTCCTCCTGTGCTGTTTTCGCTTGTGATGTTCGGTAACCCTGTCAAGCTTACTGGACCAGGCTCAGGACTGCTGAGTGAACTGGTGAGACATGTCTTCCTTTTGCTTCCAGCCTTCTGTATTAAGTTCTTTGTTAGATTGTAATGGCGAGGCCCCTGCCTTTATTTCCCCTCTGGCCGCTCAAAAGACACCCAGGTCTCTGAGGCTAACTTCAAAGATGATCCAAATGGCTAGTACAACTAAGGAACTGGATTTTAAACTTCCTTTAATGTTAATTATATAAATTTTCATAGTCAAATGTGGCTAGCGACTGTATTAGTGCAGTTCTAAAGCTACAAAAGTTCACGTTCAGTGATCAAACATGCATTTAAAAAAAAAGGAATCTTTTCTTCCTTAAGACCCAGCAAAACAGCCAGGAAATCAGGTTATTTGTTCAAAAAAATTTTTCTCTGGGTAAATCCCTGAGACCAGTAATGATTTATTGCCACCCAATCAGGGAAGAGAAAATAAGGCAATTCAACAGCAATCTCAGCTCCCAGCTCTCAGGTGTCACTGCTCTAAGGGTATGCTTCAGATTTTCCTTGGAAGCTCTTCCTATCTCTCCTTAGATCAAAACAAATTTCTTTTTGTCCATTCTCGACAGGATCTCTCACAACAGATTCCCTGATCTGGTGATCCGGGTCTTCCCAGCCTTAAACTGAGAAGTTGGCTTTTTCTAGATGCTTTGGCAAACAAGCCAAAAATACTCTGTAGCATAATGATCAGAGAATACCCTAATTGTAATGGTCCCAAAAGAAAAACAAAAGAAAAATGAAAAAAACGGGTTCTGGAACTTAAGAGGAAGATGAATTTGGGACTGCAAATGAACAGACGAGGGCAAGTTACCCCAAACAGTTTTTCAAAGTCCACTCATGAGGAAAATCTTCAACTTCTGTGAATTTTCCGAGACTGACAGGTAGGCACTTGTGCTGAGCGTTTCTCACAGTCAGTCCGTTTGGTAAGGTTTTTCTGCTATGTGGGTCTTCCAGCGCCTGATGAGGTTCAAGCTCTGACTGAAGCACTCACCACAATCAGGACATTTACAAGGTCTCTCTACTGTGTGAGTCCTCTGGTGAATCGCCAGGGTGGAACTCTGACCACAGGCTCTCCAGCACTCAGAACCAGTGCAAGATTTCTCTCCTGTACATGTCCTCTGATGTCTAATGCAATGGCCGAAACTCTTCCCACATTAAACGAGGTCTGTCCAGAAGATGTCCAGCCAGTGTTAATATCACAATAGTTTGTGCAACATCCATGTAACCTGACAGCCAAGGAGAGTGGACTGGAATGCGCATGTGTGAACAATGACAACTTCACTGTACTAGTCAGCAGGTTCGGTAGACACTTGAGTGAGCATGTGTATTGTGTGGCTGTCACATTCAATAGACTGAGCAAGTAAAGCAATGAATCTGTATCAAATTTTGCATTAAGCTTGAACATTCCTCTGCAGAAACTAATCAGATGATTCAGAAGGCCACAGCTATGGGCAACTGGTGATTGGCATCTTCATCACAACACCACGCCTGCTCATGTATCACGTCTTATGCAGAGTTTTTGGCAACACATCAAATCACCCAGGTGACTCAGCCCCCCTATAGCCCAGATTTAGTGCCCTGCGACTTCTGGCTTTTCCCAAAACTAAAACCACCTTAGAAAGGAAAGAAATTTGATAATGTCGATATTCAGGAAAATATGATGGGGCAGCTAATGGTGGTTGGGAGAACTGTGTGAGGTCCCAAGATACCTACTTTGCAGGGAACTGAGGCATCACTGTCCTATGTACAAAGTTTCTTGTATCTTCTTCAATAAATGTCTCTATTACATGGCTGGATACTTTCTGAACAGACTTCTGTGTGTACTCTCTGATGCTTTATTAGAGTAGAATTACAACCAAAGCTTTTGCCACATTCGCTACATCTGTAGGGTTTCTCACCTGTGTGTGTCCGCTGGTGGCGAATCACACTGGAACTCTGACTAAAACCCTTCCCACAATCTGAGCACTTGTAAGGTTTTTCCCCAGTGTGAGTCCTCTGATGTTCTATTAGGACGTAACTGTGGCTGAAGCATTTCCCACAAACAGGACACTCATACGGTTTTTCCCCAGTGTGTATCCTGTAATGCTGAATAAGGTGAGAGCTGCTGCTGAAACTCTTCTCGCATTCGGGACACTTATAGGGCTTCTCTCCCGTGTGAGTCCTCTCGTGGATAACAAGATGGGAGGTATTACTGAAGTTTTTCCCACATTCCCCGCACTGGTAGGGCTTCTCTCCTGTGTGTGTTCTCAGATGCTGGATCAGGTGAGAGCTGTTACTGAAGCATTTCCCACACTCAAAGCATTTATAAGGTTTTTCTCCTGAGTGGGTCCTCTGGTGAGCACGCAAATGAGAACTATTATTGAAGCTTTTCCAACATTCAAAGCATTTATGACGTTTGTCTTTGAAGGAGGAATTCTGCTGGTCAGACGCATTGGCATGCTCTCCTGGGTCACTGGGTTTTTCTTCCTCTTTTCCTGTAGAATTTTCCCGATTCTCTGACTTGCAGTCACTCTCATAGAAACTATCACACCAAGTCTTATCTCCTTGGGACAGTGTCAATGGTATTTCTTTCATATCCTCCTGCTTAAAGTTTTGTGGGCCGTCTTTTTTAGAGCATTCTGAGCCTCTCTCTTTATCTGCCTTAAGGTTGTTGTGTTGAACAGTTTCTAAATTATTCTTACTTTCATCTCCTGCAAAAATAAACAAATATTCTAAACATAGTCCCTAATCTCTGCCAGGGGAATTCTGAATTGCAGTGGAAGGGAGGAAATAACCAAGTAAACCTTGTAAATTATTTTATATTAAAATGTTTTTAAAGCTAGTTTTACTTCTTTAACATCAGAAGCAAGTGAATTTTTTGTATTTAGTAACAACACTATAAAGTATTTGAACAGTTGTCAGCAATTGCCAAGGGAGATATTTATTTAAAATAAATTCACTAGCTTCATTCTAGAAGACTTAAAAAAGTGGGGGAGGGGACTGGAGCAGGGGACAAACTGAATAGCACACCACCTGAGGTGAAAACTAGACCATGCCTGAGCAGATATAGAAACAACAACAATAGCCACTACAGGCATACCCCACTTTATTGAATTTAGCTTCACAGATGGTGCATTTTTTACAAAGTGACAGCAAGCACCTGCACCAGCAAAAACGATTATGACCCACTTTATTGAGATACTTGCTTTATTGTGATCTGATACTGAACCTACAATATCTCTGAAGTATTCCTATACTTATTAAGAACATATAGTGTCTCACTAGTCCTAAAAATACATGTGAGACAGATGTTATCACTTATTTCGTTTTCTTAAAGAGAAAGCTAAGACTGTAAGACTTAACACAATTTGAGTTACAGAACAAGAAATTAAAAGCTGGTCTCATTCTAATGCCTTGTTCTTTCTACATACTTTATAGCGCATCTTATAATGGATTTCCAAAGTAATCAGATCATCTTCTTGATCTCTCACCTGTAAAAGAGTTTTTCAAACTCCCCCTCTCCATGAAGCCATTCAAGTCTGAGACCAGCGGTTTCTGCTCTTGCTCCATCGCAATGATCACAGCCAGGTTAGGAAGCAGAAATCCTGTAGAAGGAAACAGGTCATGTTTGGAGGTATTTGCTACTATTTAGTCTTCCTCTTCCCTTCCCAACCATTGCAACGTAACAATTTAAGTACAGAATGTTTTGTTAATAATACTGGAAATAAAATGGTCTTTAGGAGCCCTTTTAGAAAAATCTTTTCTCAGATGCACGTGTTTAAAATAAAGGATTAACTCGATTTACTTTTTCCAAGAAAATAATTTAAAAAATTAAATTTTCACATTAAGGTCTGAGGATCCAGCTTCAGAAAATAGAATTAATACAATACTAATTGTCCACTCAGATCTTAAAACACTTCAATTGAAAAGAAAAGGGGGTTTTGAGGAGTTGGGGGGGGAGACACCGATAATATGACTTCAAGAAATCAATATGCAGGTATACAAAGCAGCAAAAGAGGAAAAAAAAACTGCATAGTTTAGAAAGAATAACTTAGGATTTCTATAACCAGTAACAAGAAATTAGTACAAAGCAGGGCTAGAATCATTATAAACAATAACCCCTAAATATAAAAGAAATCTGACAAGGGACTTCTTCCTTTTCTCTATTATAATCTCAATATCCATTTCAGCGTAAACGTCATCTTTTTCAGCAAAATGCAACCCCTGGCCTATCTGAAGGGACTAGAAAATGTGATCTATCACTGGAAGGCAGTTATATGTGAACTCGGCATCCAAGCCAAGTTATAAAGAATATATAATTTGGGAAAAATGAAAGTCTAAAAGGATATACAGAGGCAAATAAAAAATGATATACTATAATTTTGACCCTATCAATATTTATTTTGTGCCAGGAAGTGAACTGAATAATTTACACATAATATTTCTCATTTAATTCTCACAACAGCCCTCTTAGGTGTCTAAACAATTACCAGCATTTTATAGATGAGTTAAAAAAGACATTTTGAACTTCCGGCCAAGATGGAGGCATGCATAGGTAGACATGCTATGCCTCCTCTCACAACCATAAGAAGGATCACAACAAATCTCAAACCAAAATACAACCAGAACTGCAAGAAAATCAGACTGTATGGAAGTCTGACAAGCAAGGATTTAAAGAAGAAACATCCAGACTGGTAGGAGGGGTGGACACGGGGAGCTCAGGCGGAGAGGATGCAGTGTGGAGGCAATGAGGTGGTGATGGCAGGGAGGCAGTGGCAGCAGTGGCCAGAGGAATGGATGGTCCCGCATCCACGTGTGGTAGATAAAAACTGGGAGGGACACCTGGGGAGTGAACCATCCCCGCCCCAGGTCAGACTGCAGAGCCCAGAGTTCCAGCACCAGGAAATGAAACATCATAAATTCTGGCTGTAAAAGCCAGTGAAGGTTGAAATGGTGGAAGAAACTGCCAGTCTCTCAGGAGCATCTGTTTAAAGGATCAGCACAGCCCCAGAACATACACAAACCCATCCACTCTGGGATTCAGCACCAGTGCAGCAGCTAGAAGGGTGCCAGACAGAGTCAGGAAGTGGGGGAAGTGACTGGAAACAGGGCCAGAGCAAGCAGCACTGTTCCCTCTCTGAACCTTCCCCCACATAGAGCACCACAAAGCAGATGAAGTGGGTTGCCACACCCTTGTGAATACCTAATGCTCTGCCCCTTACAATGTAACAGGAGTACCAAGACTGAGTCAAAGTAGCTCTACCTAATACACAGAAACAAACAGAGGGAGGCTGCGAAATTGAGGAGACAAAAAAATATGGCCCAAATGGAAAAACAGATCAAAACTCCAGAAAAAGAATTAAGTGAAATAGAGCTAGCCAACAGAGTTCAAAACACTGGGGATAAGGATGCTCAGAGAACTCACTAAGCACGGCAAACACATAAGGGAAGAAATGAAGGCTACACTAAGTGAAATAAAGAAAAATCCACAGGGAACCAACAGTGAAGGAAAGGAAGTCGGGGTTCAAATCAATGGTTCAGAACATAAGGAAGAAATAAACAGTCATCCAGTATAGAATGAAGAAAAAAATTCAAAAAAAATGAGAGAATAAGAAGACTGGGACATCTCCAAATGTGCCAACATCCAAATCATAGGGATGCCAGAGGGAGAAGAGCAAAAGCAAGAAATTGAAAACTTATTAGAAAAAATAATAAAACTTCCCTGATTAGGTGAAGGAAATAGACATACAAGTCCAGGAAGCACAGAAAGTCCCAAAAAAGATGGATATGAAGAAGTCCATTCTAAGACACATCATAATTAAAATGCCAAGGTTAAAGATAAAGAGAGAATCTTAAAAGTAGCAAGAGAAAAGAAAAGAGTTACCTACAAAGGCATTTCCATAAGATTATCAGCTGATTTCTCAAAAGAAACTTTGAAGGCAAGAAGGGACTGGCAAGAAGTATTCAAAGTGGTGAAAAGCAAGGACATACAACCAAGATTACTCTATTCAGCAAATCTATCACTGAGAATGGAAGGGCAGATAAAATGCTCCCCAGATAAGTTAAAGAAGTTCATTATCACCAAGCCCTTATTATATGAAATGTTAAAGGGGCTTACATAAGAAAAAGATCAAAACTATGAACGGTAAAATGACAACAAACTCACAACTATCAACAACTGAATCTAAAAAGAAAAACAAAAGCAAAACTAAGCTAACAACTAGAACAGAAATAGAATCATAGAAATGGAGATCACAAGGGGGGAATGGGGCAAAAAGTACAGGGATTAAGAAGCATAATTGGTAGGTACAAAACAGATAGGGGGAGGATTAGAATAGCATAGGAAATGGAGAAGCCCAAGTACTGATATGAATGGCCCATGGACATGAACTAAGTGGGGAGATTGCTGGAGGGAAAGAGGGTACTGGGTGCATGGGGGCAAAGGGGAAAAAAATTGGGACAACTGTAATAGTATAATCAATAACATATACTTAAAAATAAAATTAGTAATTTCCTTCCTAAAAAATAAAATAAAACAATAAAACAATAAAATAAAATAAAATAAATTAAATAAATTAAATAAATAATAAAATAAAATAAAATAATAAAATAAAATAATAAATAAAATAAAATAATGAAAAGACATTCTGAAACTGCCAAGGCCACACACCCCAAGAGTGGTGGACCAGGATTCAGCCCAAGTCTCTCTGGGCAGTGACTCACACCCTCAGCTATTTCAGTACGCTAGCCCAGGAAGCTGAGAGCTGAGCTTAACCCCGAGCTGCAAATGATCGTCAAAGAGGGCCTTTAATTAGATTATACTTAGAGAACAGATTTACATCTCTAGATCTTACACCAAATGGAGCTGGCACTCCCTAAACACCCTCAGCAATTAGGGATTTGTTCTAAGAAAAGGTGAAACGAGTCTCAATGATAAATATCCCGTGTTTGAGTGGGGGTAGAGGGGGAAGACACCTAAGGGAGGGGAAGAAAGTTGTTCAAATGGAGTAACGTGTTCTGCTTCCCGAGTTACATATTTCTATCCAAGTCCTTACAAAGGAAGCGGGAGGCGGGGTAACAGATCCCCGCGCCAGCACCGTCCCTGCTTAGAAACCATTAATTTTGACAGTAGCGGCATCCTGGGGTGCACTGCTTCTGTCAAAGGGCTGCAGACTCAAGGTGATGAGTCCGCACCTACTGAAAGGCTGTCTTTGGGGCCCTGGCTGGGTTGTTCAGTGGGTTAAAGCATCCTCCCACCGTCACCATGGGCCAGGTTGCAGGCTCCACTTCTGCCAGGGCACATGGGGGAAGCAACCAATGAATACATAAATAAGTGAACAAATCTCTCTCTCAAACAAACAGGAAAATTAAAAAAAAAAAAAAAGCTGTCCTTAAGGTGTCACTCTATAGAGTAGTTTTCACTGTCAGCGCCCACCCAGGGGATCAGGATGGGGCCTGAATGCACTGAGTGAAGCTCAGCTAATTAAGAACCCTTGGCGGCGACCACAGGTTGGGGTGCCCTGCGAGGTGAAGTTCCCCGAGACCAGACTGTCACCAGCTGACGCGATCCATTAAGGGACTCCGCGGGGCGAGGGAGGCGCAGTGGCTGGGGCGGTGGGAGAAGCTGGGCCCCCGCCCCTCCCAGCAGCGGGATCCCCCTCCGGGGCGTCTGTTACAGCCTGGGCAGTGCAGGTTCCTTTCCTGCCCGCGGCCCTCGGCTCCCTTCCCCGCCCCCCAAGAAGGAACTTACTGTTCTGGGGGCTACACACAAGGCGCCCTGCACCCCTAGGAGGGCACGATGTCCCGGTGGAAAGAGTCCCCACTCCTTCAGACCCAAACAACCCAGGGTCCTAGACTCTCAAACTGCCAGACAGGAACCGGAAGTTGCCCTAGCTTCCGCAGCCAGCTTGCTAGAGCTTGTCTAGGAAAGCGGGACAGCCAGCGCTCGCTCGTTGATCTTAACCCTTAGGGCTCTGGACCAAAAGGAGCGAGCTAGTGGATTTCGTTTCCTTGGGCTGTCATTCCAGTATTGTGATTCTCGTTCCTCACGCTCCTCAGGCGCCTTGTCATAGGGGCCTGATTAGAGCTTATACTTTTCTTGACACCAGGGCACCATCAGATTTATCATCATCATTAGACTCAAAAGCAGTCGAGCCTTTATTAAGCACCTATTGTTTCTGTTCTCCCCAATGTGGACATGTGCACACGATACGTACATTTAGCTGTCTGTGAAACAGTTGGAGAGCAAAGGCAACCTTGCACATATAAAACAAGTAGTTTACAAGGCACCGTTATTACTAACATTCAGTTAACATACAGTTAAACTCTGCTTTTAAGCCCTGGCTGGCGTAGCTCAGTGGATTGAGCGCGGGCTGCAAACCAAAGTGCTGCAGGTTCGATTCCCAGCCAGGGTACATGCCTGGGTTGCAGGCCATGACCCCCAGCAACCGCACATTGATGTTTCTCTCTCTCTCTCTCTCTCTCTCTCTCTTACCTCTCTAAAAATAAATCTTTGAAAAAAACACAAAACTCTGGTTTTGTTCAGAGAAAATAGAAGTTAATCCCCCATAGCAAACATGCAGATCTACTCAAGCCCGCGCCCCTGGCACTCTCATTCTTCCCTCCTGTTACAAGAGAGGACGGGGCCTTCGCATGGAAAACAAGCCCTTCGCTGGAACTCAGCTGCTTTCCCACCTTCATGGCATCCTTATGCCGGCCACTAACCTCTCAGTTCTCCCGACTCCACCCTAAATTAGCCCCTCAGCTTTAATTTGTTTCGTACAATGTTTTGTCTTTATCACTTCCCACTCACCTTTTAACTCATTTCCCTTGCAGCAAAAACAATAAATCACTAAGATCACCAACGGCCTCCATGTTTGTTGGCTGATTGGTATTTTTCAGTTCTCTGTTCTTTTCCGTTTTGACACTGCTGAGAACTCCTTCTAGAAACACTGTTTTGAGGTGATGGTACGCTGTCCTCCTTTTTCTCCACATCTAGGCAGGCTACTGCAAGCCTGGTCTTCACTAATTGTTGAGGATCCTCAAGGCCACCTAGACCTTCTCCCCTCTTATCTGCAAATGTTTCCTATTTGGCAATTTCCTTCACTACCACATTTAAGAGAATTTTTTCTTTAAATTATTTATTTATTTTCAGGTAGAGGGGAAGGGAGGGAGAAAGAGAGGGAGAGAAAGATCAGTGTGCACCCCCAACTGGGGACCTGGACCACAACCCAGGCATGTGCCCTGACTGGGAATCAAACTGGCAACCTTTCTGTTTGCAGGCTAGCACTCTAGCCACTGAGCCACCACAGCCAGGGCCACTCCTACATTTTTAATACCACCTACACAGACAACTTACAGATGCAGATCTCCAGCCCAGGCTGCATTTTTGAGCTTTCCACTTACACCATTGTTCTGCCTGACGTCTTGTGTTAGACGTCTCAGTAATGCCTCAAAACCAAAATGTCAAAAGTCAAAATCTTTTTGCTTTCTCGTCTCACATACACTTACAAACACGAAATAAAACAAACCTGTTTGTCTTCCAATATTCTCTCTCTCAACCATCCATCTGGTGATACAGAAGCCCAGAAGTCATTTTTGTCACCTCCCTTTCCCTGACCTTTACCAGAAATTTCTGGTGTGTGAAGACTCAGAGTTCCAGTTTAACTCTAAGGGAGGGCAAGAATACGAGTAGATTTGAACCTTCCTCCAACTCTTATCGGTGGGGTACATCAAAGCAAACCAAGACACGCTTGTTTTGATTTGGAAAAGTAGAGAAATGTGACATTTCTCATAGCTGAATGGCAGGTTATGTGGCACAGTGTCTCCCAAGACAGTCGTCGCCACAGAACTCCTTGTTATGTGGTGGCAGAAATTTGGCAACACTATTATCTGAGCTAACGTGGCCTAAGTGATCTTGGTCAGAAGTTGTCAAACTTGTTCTGCAAAGGGCCAAATAGTAAATATTGTATGCTTCTGAGCTGTAACTCCTCACCTCTGCCGTGATGCTACATGTTATGCTTCCAATGTGCTGTTGACGCTCCTTCCATCCTGCAATGGCTTTTATGTCTCCTCTGAACCTGAGCGACCCTTTGTAACTGCCTCAAACAAGAGAGTATGGAACAAGGGATGACATGTGATTTCTGAGGGTCGGTCATGAAAATAACATGCGCTTCTTTCTTATTCTCTTGCTGAGATGTCTCCTGTGGGAACCCAAACACCATGCTGCAGGGCAGCCAAGCTCACTGGGAGAAGCCATGTGATATTATTCTGGCTTCAGGTGAAATAGCCTTCACATGACACTAGCTCCAACTGACGTCGTACTGCAAACACATGAGGTCCCAAGAGGGAACCACTTAGCAGAGCCCAGCCTACTCTCATAACGCTGAGAGGAAATAATAAAATGATTCTTTTTTTTCTAAGCTACCAGCTTTTGGAATGAGTTTGCTATGCAGTCACAGACAGCCAGAACATATTTAGTACACTGAAGTGGGGTGCTACCCAACAAAAGCTGAAAATGTGCGGCTTTGCCTGTGGGAACAGGTGGCAGGCAGAAAAAGGAAGGTCCCTACGTAGAGTGTTAGTGAAAGCCTAAAAATGGTGACAGGGAGGGATTAAAGGAAAGGGAAAAAAAGTGGAAGTTGGAGGTAAGGGGTCCTTGTTATGCGGTGGCAGAAATTTGGCAACACTATTATCTGAGCTAACGTGGCCTAAGTGATCTTGGTCAGAAGTTGTCAAACTTGTTCTGCAAAGGGCCAAATAGTAAATATTGTATGCTTCTGAGCTGTAACTCCTCACCTCTGCCGTGATGGCCTAAAATTAGCATATAGGTAAGGGTATGTTCCAATAAAAATGTTTATTAAAAAAAAAGAGAAACCTGTCCATCGGCAGTATTTTTCTGACCCCTGTTCTAGCTAAGGAGATCAAGGTGGAGTATTAGGAGGGCCACCTGGTTTCTTCTCACTGCCTTTGACAAAATGCAAGAAACGGGAGATGAACTGAAGAACCGCCCCCCTGAATACATAGGAGTTAGAACACGCTGCATTTGAAAAAGAAATGGTTTTTTCTCATCCAAGCCTCTCCAGATGGTAAACAATGTTAAAATGAAGAAATGGCTTCTGGGAAAAGATTCAATATCAGGCATTGCTCAACACACATAGCCTTTTACAGGTCCTACCGGTATGTCTTGAAAAACTTCTCTGCTGAACAATTGGATAACCAAGAGTCTTAAGGGTCTTGTCCCACAGGAAACACAAAGAGGCCACGGTAGCAAAGGGCTTATCTCATGAAGGTTTGTGGTTGTGGCTTTTGTCCGACAGAGTGAATGATGTATTGACATGCCAAAAGCCTGGAGATTTTTGAAAGTGTTATGTCAGCCGTCACTGAAGGGCACAGAGACAGCACAGTATGGTAAGAGGTCTTTGGGCCCCTCAGAGCTTACTGGAAGGAAGAGGGCCATGGAAACCACTCAGCCACACACAGGGATTTACTGTTGAAGGAAACCAGATTACATCCCCCAGAGATGTCTCTTGGACCTAAAAATTATTTTGAGCTGAGGGCAATTAAGAGGCAACAAATGCAGGAAAAGCTCTCTCTCCCCTCTTCTTTTTCTGACGAAAGGCACGACATAAAGTCTCCTTCACTGAAGATGACTCAACTCTTATCAGCACCGGAGGAATCTGCAAACAACGATAATCCATTAGCTTGCCCCTCTGTGCTTACCTTCCACAGTGGGCCTCCCTTGGAAGCCTAAAACTGCTTTACTCTGTCTTGTCATTTCTCTATTATTATTATTAATTAGTATTATTCATTGTTAAAGGTGTTATATAAGCCAAAGGTCTAAATCATCTCTTTGAGTTACTCTTGCCCTGAGTCTCTCCCGTGTATACAGGCTGGGGAAAAGGTAGGTTTACAGTTGTTCGTATGGAAAAATAATACGATCATTAATCAATAATAACACAAGAATAAATTCTGTGTTTCACGTACTGCAAACCTGTTTCCCCCACCCTGAATATGAGATATACCTGTTAATAAACTTCTGTTTGTTTTTTTTTGTTAATCTGTTTTTTGTTACAGACACCCAAGTTGAGAATTTAGAAGGTAGAAGGAAAACGATTTTTTTTCTTCTTCTCCACTAGATAAGATCTAAATTTCAGGCGCTTTCCATGGAGCCTCCTTCTAGCAACCCTGTTCCTCCCAGTGGATGCCAAAGTGCTTGTGGTTTCCAGAGCACAGCCTGTTTTGCATGCCTTTGTGACTCGCTCTCCCTGACAATGTCGCTCACTGCTCCCAGCACACCTGCCCTTACCCCTCTGCCTGACTCCGGCTGTGCAGAACATGTGTGCGCTCCTCATTTCAGCTCACGTACCATCTCCCTCATTTAGTCTCCCTTCACTCTCCCAGGAAGACTTAGGACCCCTTTTCTCCCCAGATTATATTCTGTTTATCAGATTGTGTTCTATGTCCCCATAGGTTCTGAACCAATTGAGAGATAGACAGGGGTATCCATTCATTCGATAAGGATCAAAATCAAGAGCTTTGTGCCAGGTAAAGCCGGATTGGAGAGTTGGCTTTAGGTCCAAGGTCTTCTACACCTCCCCATGTGTTAGAGTGGCTTAATCCCTCAGTTGTAGGACAGAGAAGTCCTGCCGCAGAAATGTTATAGACCACATGCACAAGAAGCAGAGAACAGCTAATAAATGTTCCATGTACAGGAAGATTTTAGAGAGCCCAAAGAAGGATGAACCACACACATACACATTCAGTCTTTTTTGTCCCATCGCACCCATTAGATAAGTTGCTGTTTCTGACCCCATAAATGAATGATGGGTAAAGTTTCAGGCAGTGGAATGAAGGACAGAAGGTGCCTTCTACTATTTCTA